TTTCTTTAAAAAAAAACCCACAGACACCCAAAATAAAGCAAAAAATTGCAAGCATATGGCACCATGGAAGAGTAAACAATATTGCTTTCAGGCCTAGCCAAGGGATTACTGTTACATGAGGAAATCAAGGTTGACTTTTAAAAATCTAAAAATAATTCTAAGAATGCTTCCTGTCTCAATGCTCTGTACAAGAGAAAACAAATGAAAAGACTTAGTGTCTACACAACATCTAGGTCATTGGTATTACACAACCTCCCTTTCTAAAAACACTTCAAACAAATTCTTATACAGGACATTCACAGGCTTTAACTGATTAAAAACAAGTGTAAGATAGGAAATATACTCTGAAAGTACAAAATGGCTTGTTTTGAGAAAAAGTCCCTGTGCCCTTGACAAACTGTAAGAGAATCTGATAGTCTGACCAGATACTTTTAATTAAATATAACTTGTTAAATATTTACTTACATGCCACTTTATACCAGAAGGCTAGATCACTGCACAGGACATTCACGCCAGATACTTAACTCTGTATTTCTGTCTTACATAGTTGCACAGCAGCACACATCATTTGGCCAAGCATACCTCTACAGTAAAGGATTATGCATGCAATTGTTCTTTATTATAGGTTCCTGCTCTATACTACTTCCAGCTTAATAAAACAGGAACAGACTTGTCCATCATGCCCCTTTCTATGCTGTGCAGACACAACACACAGGCACGCTTCTGGCTTCTAAACTAAGTATCATGCCCCCAACAGCCCATCATACTGTGCCTGCAAGTTTTATAATAAAAACGTTTTGCAGTGAAAAAGCATGATTTAGCAAGCTTTTATTAATTATTCTACTTTCCTTTTGTGTTAAAAGTTACAGGACTGCATACGCTCATAGGCAGTCAAAGACAAAGAGGTAAATAGCTGTCCAATAAATTATTACCTTCATTCATTACCAGAAACCACTTAATTCATTACTAGAAAGTATGTTCTATTGGAATATAAATACTGATAAAACAAATCCTCCTGTGCCCAAGTTCATCTTACCAATTACACTGCTATATGCACTTGGCCTTTCCTCTCCTCGGGGAGAGGAAGTCACAGCACTAGCTTCTGTTCCCATCTTGGCTACAGGCTGAGGTACCACCAACCCGTCCATACCATGGTGCATGGAGCACTGACTGCTACATGGAAAATTGTATGCCTTATGCTTTGGTATTGATAACACAGAGAGTCCTCAGGTGAAGGTTTGTGTTAGGACACCAAACTTGGAAGACTTCAAGTCCATTACCTTGCCCAGCCCAACTTTCTTAGATGAAAGATGACAAGCTACCTAGCATCTCCATGCCTTGTTTTACCATCTGTAAAATCAAGATAAACATTCTTATTTCGATTCTGAAGGACAGAGAATTTTAAGAGAGACATTACAAGTTTTTGAGGTATCTCAGGCAACGGTAATGAGGTCCTTACAAAAAAAAACCACTTTGCAATTGTTTAGTAGAATGCACTTTGTAAACACACAGTTGCATTAAAACTGTATCTTCACACTACTAGGTAGTATGTTCTGAGATGTCTAGAATCTTTCGGCTGCTTTTATACATCTCCATCCTGCAATATTGAGCTGCTGTAAAATTAGGAGCAATACAAGTATTGCAGAAAGCATTTTGTTGGCATGTGTGTTTCCTCTCCTGTACTGATAAAAAAGCATGGTAGTTTTTCAAAGGAGGGAAAATGTTCAATTCCTTGAAAAATACTACAGATGTTAAAAAATAAGAGGGTGTATTAGAACAAAAGTATGGTACATTAGTTGCTTGGACTGGAAAGAGTTTTAAAGTGCACCTTCTGTTTACATATCCACACCTCTAAAGCCAGATAAGCTGAAATCACTTTTCTGTGGCTTTCTACTCTCTTCGAGCAATCACTTCTCCTAAATATGAATGTCTGTATTGCTTGTGCTCCACAAAAGATAAAATTAAAAATTTTTACTTCCTTTTATTTCTTAATAAGTATTTGAAAACCTAAGAGGCTTACTCAAGGTTACACCTGTAGTCAAAAAAACAGGCCATATTTATCAAGCCACAGTGAAAGTAAATTTGGGTGATAAACTTAGAATTCCATCTTGTGGGTTTCCCACACTAGAAACTGGCATATGCTCAGAAGGGCACCTACTTTTTACTTTAACAAGTGAAAGAGGGGTAGGGAAACTGCAGGACATAGAAGGAAACTGAGCCTAAGGTAAATTAATTCTACAGTTATCCTTCCTCAAATATTATCTTCCCCCTCTCAGTTTAATCTATATTGTAAGATATTTAAAAGAAAAAAAATAATCATACCACATCTCCCAGTAAAATGCACTTTGGGCAACTGGGAGAAGTCAAGTCTCATCTTCAATCAGTAAAGCGGTCACTTGAAAAGAAGATCTTGAGGATAAATGACTAAGGCCTGGTTAAGCAAAGCATTTAAATATATGAGCAGCTTTGCTGAATTTGTCAGAAGTACAGCCAAAAACCAGAGAAATCTCTCGAATTTAAACAAAAAACAAGACAACCATAGTTACTGCAGAACTGGCACTGAGCTGGTCATCTTTTCTTTGAAATAAACAGGATCTCGAGCATGGAAACATTTAATACTCTCTAGCTTTATTTCATTTCCTTTTGCAATACAGATGAGAGAACGGAAGCGAGACACTCATCAGTCTTCCAAGCTAAGTCCTAAGCCCCTTTTTTCTCAGGTATTTGTGTTAGGATTGAAGAAGGAAACCAACTGTAAGGCAAATTCATTACGTTGGTGTTTACCGCATGTGGAGCATGCAACCTGAACAGTATTTAGGATACAGTTCATAAAACCAAAACTTTAAATCCTGTGAGAAGCAAAAGTAACGAAATCCGATTTCTTAGAAACTTGTGTCTCATGACCAAACTGTCTCAAAGTGTCAAAAAAATGTTTCCTGTGGTTAGGACAGTCATAACATCTTCCCCCTCGTGCATCTGTTAGAACTCACAGAAAGGATGGAGCTCACACTTCGGCCTTGCCTTTATGTGGGCTTTTCCCACAGCATCTCATACAGGAACATCGCAGATTTAGAGCCCTAGCAAGTTTCACTGAAAATGCCCAATGCATGCCTAAATTAAAGGCAGGAAAGGGAGAAAGGCACATACAGAACAACTTAATTGCCTAAGCTTCTTTTCCATCAGCTCAGTATTCACTGCATAAAAACTGATGGGGCAGACATTTAAGAAGTATTAAAAACTGTCAAATACTTCTTGTTTTTCTGTTATTTTGGAAAAAACAAAACTGTTCTCACATTTTCCATTTGCTATTTTATTGAACACAAAAGGTATTTTTAAGCTAAGGTACAAAGGAGAATGTTTCAGCCATCATAGACAGGGCTTTATAACTAGAAACAGCAGAAGACTGAGAAGTTATTGGCATTAATAGATCCCAGTAATGTAATTTATCTTGTTATTATCATATGGTAACATGCACAAACATCCCCTTGTTAAAATGCCTCCAATGAGACTGATTGCCAAACAGCGTTCCATCACAGGCATATAACTCATTCTTCCTACAAATCAAAAAGAAAAAAACCTCTCCACTAAAACTGCCTTTCTCTTGCCTGCACAAACTTGTGTTTTACATTAAAGTGACCTTAATCTTTCACTCCACAGGATGGCTGCTAGCTTGGACAGCTATAATTAACAGTGATGTAACTATCTGTAAACTTTAAGCTATTCCAATATATGGCCGTGCTGGCCTAGGTTCTCCTGGTGTAGAAAGGGTCATCTCAGAGTTTGAATCATCATATGCATAGTGGCACATTCCTTCATTGACCTAAAAACGGGGCCCGAACGTGGCCTAATAGAAACATTCACCCTTTGACAATACAATATCCACCTGGGAGACTCAACGTGAAATATGCTATGCAACAACACTTCCTTGCTCATAGAGATGGATGTTACGAAAAACGAAACAAAGATCCTGACACAACACTACTACAAATAAGATACAGCTGACGCTGACCTCAGAACTGAACTGTTTTTTTAAAAAGTTATTAGTATCACTAAACCAAAATTTCCACTCAACTTTCTCTCTCTATATATATAGTTTTTTGCACATAGAAATAGTATTTTCTTGTTCTATTAAATGTTTCTTAAGTGAACTCTGAAGCAGCACTATCCTAAAAAATATTAGGTTTTTTGCCACTGTACAATTACAGTTTCCAAACATTCCATAAATACAAATATTTTTACAGGCATGGAAGACTAAATGCTGAAAATATTTCATTTAAATGGCCTAAAATTATATTCATATGTATTCAGGGGCAAAGTTTTTGAAATAAGAGGCTCTGTTTCTCGGGTAGCTTAACATTTACTGCAATTCTTGTAAATGAGGTGGGTATAAACTTTTCCATCCAAACCCATGTTTGCCAAAGGAATTAAATGTTATCTGTAATCAGTGGAGGCCAGCAAAGACATTTACAGGTTTCCTAGAAAGTTCTGTGAGATAACTGAATTTGGAACTGTAAGGTACAGCAAATGACTCCGCTGAACACTCCAAAAAATGCTTTCGGACTTGTTACCATGTTTCTCGCAGCTGTTAAGCAGTATACAAGCTCAAGAGATGTATTTCAGATTTGATCCTTGCCTTGATTCTCAGTTTGGTGGATTCAAGTAAAAATACTCATTTTGAGAAGCAAAAACTACATGATAATTAATTTTTTTAAAGTAATTCTAAAGCCTTATATGTTAATATTCTTTTACCTGAGTTAGCAGAAGCACATCATCCTGAATAAATTTCCTAGCTAAAAGCTCTCTTTTACCACACCATATTTTCTTCTCCCTACGTATTTTTTGCTAAGGCTTCAAAACATTTTCTCCTTGAAGTATAACACCACAACTCATTTCAATGAATTATAATATTTGTTTCTTGTGTTTCAGTTACACTGGTGAATTTGTTGTTAAAGGACAAAAGAGTTATAAGCATTTAGCATTAGTCATACATATCACAACTGTTTTGGTTTTTATTTTATTTATTAGAAACGTAACAGCTATTTCAACAATCATTTCTGCTCAGGTTATAAATAGAGCTTAAATACTGACAATTGCAAATCTCTGGAGTGAGATGAATGTTCATTAGCAACAACCAATAGGAAAAAATCAAAGACAACTCAATTTTTAGTAAACTACCAGAAAAACTTTAAACACATGAAAACAGTATTTCTGTGTAAGCAGCAAAAATTATTCTGGGGAAGTTGAATTTGTCCTCAGAGTTTCAGTATAGAATCAAACTAAAACTGAAACAGATAAATGCAATTTTGATAATTATTTGCACAAAGCATCTTCCTTACCCAGTATCTGTATATATACACACACACACGCAGACATTTTCCCTAACTACTCTGTTCCCTGGCTGTCTCGTCTTATGACACTTTTTCTACCACTGGAGTACATTCAAAGCAGTTTTTATGTTTTAACGCTGAACTCCATGTAAAAGTGAATTAGTGTCCTAATAAAAAGATATGTTTCCCCTCAAATTCCACCGTGCATACGGATCATGTGCTTACAATTCCACTAGTCTGATTTAAAGATTGTTTTCTTCTGCCTAAATCTCAGCACTGACATGGATAATGAAATTTTTTTCCAAGCAGGCACAGTCCAGTATACCAACAAAAATAATAACACTTAGAATTTCTATCACAGTCTTCACAATAAAAACTAACTAATTTTAACCAATCAATTCTTTCCAAGCTCTGTTCTACCTTCTCTAATCTTCTCACATAAATAAACTTCTGCATTGATACACATAGCAATTGCCAGATGTGCTGACCAGCTAAATGACAAAGTGAAGAGACAGTGCAAGATTAAACGAGTAAAGAATGTATGGGAATAGGAAGGATGACAAAAGCAGAAATGCAAGGGGTGAGTGGGTTTAAACTTGTGTATGTGCACCTAAGTAGAGTACCTACAAAGTACTATGAACAGAAAACAAAGCAAGCAAAAGATAACTTATGACACATAACAAGTGACTGAAAGTAAACAGAAAGTAATGAATGGTAGTGAAGGTGACCAAAGGAGACGAAGGAGAATAAAGAGGTTTGCAAAAGAAGCAGGAAAGATTGTAACAAAAGCTGCTGTGAAAAAAAATACTTCAGAGCAGGAAAATGGTTTGAAAGGAAAAATAAAGCTCAAAGAAAAAGAAAAAAAAAAACTAAGAGAGAGAAGACCAAAACACAAGACCCCTCTAGTTACCTGAGTAGGAAATCTTTCTCACCCATGGAATTTGTTACACGGCTGTAATCCGTCATGTGTGGGTCCACACCTTTCTACACCAGCTTCCCCACTGGTTCCCCTGAGTGCAGTTAACGCTACCCGTTACAGAGTTCTTATCCAGCACATGGCATCTTCAAATGTTCTTTAAATACATAAACGCATATGCAGAGTCAGCTCCTACAAACTTAACTGTTTAGAAGGCAACTTTTTTCAAGAAGCAATTCCCCGGCAGTTGTCAGCAACCTTTCCTCCACAATTCTGTTTGACTTATTCCATACAGAGTTATCTCTCTGTCCTAGATTTTGTACTTGGATGCAGAAGCAGTTGCTTTGATTTGGCGGTGTCTCAGTATAGCAAAGTCATCCATCTTGTATTACAAATAGGGCTTCCTATCACAAAGAAAAAAAATGACAGAGGAAAATCGGACAGCACAGGCACGTGAAAGTTTAGAAGCTACATTTAATAAGTTAATGCTTGTTGTGAAAGGATAAGCAAGATCAACACAAAGCTCAGTTTTCCACATGTCGCAAAATATGTCAGTGTCCTAATTTTACACTTGTGAAGAGCTAGTACCAGCTCTCTGACTTCCCTGCTTACTTATTACTCTGCTTCTCACCTCCCTCTTCTCATGCAATGGTTTTATTCCTACTTCTGCTACTTTCTTCATGGGTGCCTTACTTTTCCATTACATGCTGTTTTCTTTCTTGTTCTCTTGTTTACCCCTGCAGAAGCACTTAAACTGCTGTACGATGCCATTTCTGCTGCAAGCCAACACAGACACAGCTAAAAATCAAGAATTCAAATGGAAGGGAGGTTAGCACCACCCAGACCGACCGGGCACCACACGGACTGGTAAGTCCATGTTGGAAACCTAGATGGAACCAACTCTGGCACTAAACACTACAATGAAGCTCTGCCAGCACCAGGGAGGTCCCTTGTCCTGTTTGCCTTCTCTCGTCTCTAACTCTATTGGAAAAGTCACCACTGCAATGACCAAACTTTTCTAAGGAACAGGAAGAATCCCACCCTCGGTGCCTAATCAATGGTTTCTCTACCAAAGGTAAGGTTATTGTTAGCCCTTTTTCTTCCCGTGAGGCAAAGTACCCTCTCAATGCAGTGCCGTGAGTATGTATTGAATCTCCAAGAATTACTAATACTTGTGGATATTAGAAGACGATGCGTATACTTGCCTTCAGCTTTAACTCCCATTTCTGCTCACAGACCTTGCTGGAGGATTACCGTTTAAACTAACAGTGAGTATATCTTAGGTTTACACGTTAGGTTTTACATTTCTAACGCGGCAAGCCTACATGCTTGAAGCCTTCTCTCACAGACCTTGGAGCAGTAGGAGGAGAACAACCCCTCCAAGAGAAATGGAATTTTATCAGTACAAAGGGGTTTTGCACTGAGGAAGCATTCTCCTATAAAAAGAGATTAGGAGGGCTGTAACAGCATAAGGTACTTAAGCCTACAGTTAAGATGTGGCAGGGGACCTACTTTGTACCATTCAAAAATTACTTCATAAGGTACGCAGACTGTAGCTCGTAGTAGGGCTATTTGTACCATCACAAATTCACACAATGATACACTGAAAAATTCTTCATCTTAACACAGAACAACTGTAAATACAAATGCTACGTGTACACGAAAACAAACATTCACATGCAGAAATACAAACAGAAATGGAATTATCTGGTGCAACAGTTTGTGCTATCTCTGTTTAGATCATGTCATTCTAAGTGCAACAACACAGAACATCTTTCCTACACCATGTATTCCAGTTACAAAATAAAAACATAGTGAATTATGGGATTCTATTTGGTGGTTTTTTAACTCACCATGGAGCTGGTAAATCACCCGCACACAACAATGCAATTTGTAGACATTTGTCATATACTGCAATGCCCATACTAAGGCAACACATCCCAGGAGTTGGCAGCCATGCTATCAGCAAGAATTTGGCTACAGAAACAGCAATGATTCATCATGCATTCTAGAAGCACTGCCGAAACAGCAAAACAACACACTGCTATTTTAATCCTTTAAAGGTAACGAGGATTTGAAAAATAATTATAAATTTGTTTGTAAAACCAAAGCAAGTAAAAAAGCCGTGGTTATAATAATGCATTTGGAAATGCATCTTTATTCAGATTTTTTTTCTTCAGAGGACAGAAAACAGCTATTTAGTAAAAGCGTCAGCTGATTACTTACCTCTCTAGGTTGTGATTTACATGCTGAACTCAACATTATAGAACATGTTTCACAATAACTAAATCAAAAATCACCAGTTTAAAAAACAGCTCAATCTTGGTTGTATTCAGTTTTAAAAATCCTCTGTAGTAATTTTAAAAATAACCATCCAGAAATATTTTCATTAATAGAAATCTATATTGCAAATAGATGATTTTCAGACTCACGCTGTAAATGGAGAGCTACATGTGTAGTCAGAACATTTGTTTCAATGTACATATCTTGTCTATTACTGTCCCAATATCCACCATGAAAACTGTTTTTCAACTACCAGTGTCTGAAAATTTGCAAATAGTTGTGCAGGTCCTGTCAAAAGCTCTCAAGTGCTATTAACTCCTCTGATGAAAGCACTCTGCTCGCTCTTCCTCAGAATGTTCCAGTTAAAATATAAATATAGGAAAACTGTGTCTCCTAAATTACAGACAGATTATTAACTACAGAAATATTATTAATTTCTTTCCATTTTAATTCCATGGTGACACTGAAAATTTATCAGTAACACCCTTTTAATATCACCTTGTCGAAGAAGCTAAAGAGTGTCTCTTTTATAAAGTTTAAGGTGGTGTCACTGGAAGGCATTTTGGACGTGCTGCCCTTTTTCCCGTTACACAAACGCACATCATGAACCCTTACCTTTTGGAAAACGACTTCATCCTGCTTTCTTTTCTTTTTGCTGCTTTTTCTGATCCTCTGGTTTGTCTGAATCCATTTGGTGACCTGGAGTTCAAAACCATAGCGATTTTTAGAAAGAAGATGTGACCTGAGTGCAGCTACTCAGCATTAGTAAGAAGCTATAAACAGACTCAAGACAATTTTTTCCATTGCTTCACCGGAAAGAGGAAAAGCGCTTTTCTCATCTAGAACAACAGGGTCTTGGGTAATCACGTTAAGTTACCTGTGCATGGTCAAAGTGTGGTGTTCTTCATCTTAGAGCTTTCAGTTTTTTGCACAAAGAACGTGTTTGATGCCAGACTAGGTTGCCAAGTGTAAAGTTATCACTGCGGCGTGCAGAAAATCCCAGGGAAAATCTCTGCGCTTCATCCCTTGCGCTTTTCTATTTCAAGTAGGAAATTTATTTCCAGCCACCCACTTGAATGTTGTTCCAGACTACCGATGCCAAATCCGGATGGCGGGTCGCTATTATTTAATAAAGGAATAACACCCGGGGGCTCCCACCCCCCGAAGTATTTTTACTCCTAGCAGCAAAGCAGCTATTTTTTCCCGGGCGGAAGCACGGGG